TAAACGTTTTTATAATAATCTTTATAATTGCAAATTTATTTGATTATTTCTTAAATACATTAGTTATAGCTATAAAAGGTAGTTACACTTAAGACATAAAAATGTAGATGACGGGAAAGAATAATGCATGATCAATATACAGATGGAATGTTTTAGTGAACTGAATGGTGTTCTAAAGGCAAGCTGTTATATTTCATATGCCCTTTACAGTTTCTGTAGGAACTTGATGGAAAAAACATGAATGTAAAGTAGAGTATTTACCTATTTGTGGGAGAATGTAATTCTTTTATTTCATTATGTAATTAACCCTTTCCAGTCCAGAGGGGTGTCACTGATGTCCCTCAATTTTTTTCTTTTCACAGTGCAAATAGTTAACAAGATCAATAAACTTTAAACAAACTTATCAAATAATATCTAGTTTGGAACAAAAAAAATCATAATTTAATTACATTTTTCTGACATTATATTTGTGATAACAATATTCTTGGTCAAATTCAATTTATATCCAATAAATATGCTTTCTTTTCAACAAATTATAAATTATTGTGTGCTCAGTTTGAATATGATAAACTTAACAATATATTGTATTCAATAAATAAATATTTACATTTCAGTCATTGGAATATATTGCCATTATCTACCAATCTCTAAACTTATCTAGGCTTTCCTGTAGCTTTTAACCAATGATAATACAATATGAAACAAACGTCTGAAGATATTATAAACAATTTTGCAGATCTATGGTTTGTTCCCAAGTCTTCTAAATTCCCCATTAGATTCTGTAGTTATTTTCTACAAGAGCTAGTCTGTGTCATTTTCCCACAAAACCATAAATTACATCTCATACCACTATTCATTTTACATTGACGAAAATAATTTATAAGTTGCTCTATCCATTGATATTTAAACTTTTCCCATAGCTATTTTCAAAGTTGACCTTCATTGGTAGTTGTTCACACTACATGCTGTAGAGTCATGAATAAGATTAATTAATAACATTAAGGCTGCATTAATAAGATGAAAGAAAATCATGTGAGCAACAAAGATTTTCTCAGGATTATAGTTATCTATATATATATATAAAGTTTGGGAACAGACAAAAAAAAAATATAAAAAAATTGGTTGATGGATTTTTTTCCCCAAAGATTTGTGAGATTTGTGCATTTTTCTCTGCAAACTACACTAAGTAAGTACTCCGAAATGACAAATTATCAATTCTAGAATATTTTTGAGTAATAAATTGTTGTAATAGAATTAGAATTATTATTTTTTAGTTAAACTTTGATATTTGATAGGTAGGTGTACACTTCTTGACATCTGGTCTGGATAGGGTTAAGCAAACTGTTAAAATATTAATGTCTTCATTTATATTAATAAAAAATGTAGACAGCTAAACATTGTCAAATCTAGAACTGTACTACTAACCATATTCCACATATCACTGATACATGTCCAATAATCCACTGACTGAATTACTAGACTCTTGTAACTAGTGAGAACATTCCACAACTTCAGTTTTCTTGTATTTTGTCCAAAAACTTAAGTCTTTTTATCTATTATTCAATTCCTAAAAGAGACCTATCATTTCCTATAAATTAAATAAATAAGTTATCTGCACACTATTTTCAGTGTTAATAATTTTGGCAGACAAAATCAGTTGTATTTTTTGTTACTTACATCTACTGTATTTCCCATTTTAGTTAAAACATACTAATTTATTTGTTTCAAGTAGATAATACACCAAATATTTATCTTACTACATATTTGTCATATACTTTTACAAATAATAATATAGTTTAAAAGAAAACATTGGTTTCTTTAGTTAGTAGCACTGAACTGCTTGAAATTTATATTTCCTAGTAGGAGGCACTTCCCAAAGTGTGGGGGCACGTATGATCTCTTGGGGGGGGGGGGGCAACAGGCGAGCAATTAGGGTAGTCAAATGTGCAATAATGCAATATTAAACATTTTAATGTATTTTTTATTAGTGAAAATAATAGATAATCACTACAACACATATAGCATCTTAACTGCATCTCTCATCACTCATTTAAAAAGGGAGGGGTGGGTGAAGTGCAAGATACCATATTTATTAAATGTGGCATGGATGACAAAAGTTTGGGAAATATTGATGTAAAGTATAATTTAATAAAAGAAAAACAAACTATTGTAGCAAATTTAAGACAGATGGCGGTAGTGTCACATCATACTTGTTAGTAAATAGAACAATAAGAGACCTTGATTATATTGCAGTTTAATTTATAATTACATCACTGTTTAAATGTCCATACCATTTAGTCTTTAGCTTTAAACAATGCTAAGTGGTTAAAATTTGGATATTTCAAATTTCACAAACTTGATTTTTCAGAAATTTTGATCCAAGCTGTGTAGATTGTTTCATGTGCTGTACAAAATATATTAGTTCATATATTTCAAACTGAACATTTATGCTATTTGGTTGTATTAAAATGAGAAGGTGAATGATATCAATTTTTAATAATTGCAAAGTACAGAGACAAATTTTGAAAAAAAACCAACAACAACAAATAAAAATATTATTTGCCTTCAAAATTTAATTGTAAAAAAATATCAAAATAAAAATGCTCATACATTAGGATAAAATGAAACTATAATTAAATTTTTTGCATAAATGATTTGAAAATGGATTATGCTTGTTTGTGACAGATGTATATTCCTGACATATCACAGTTTTAGTTAAAAACTCCAAGCCTCAAGATATGGTTTAGATTTATTCTCAATTTACGGTATTTGTTATTTATTATGTTGCAATATTTGAGCTTCCAAACCTTTAAAGACAGCGCACATCAGTGCAAAAAAATGATTATAACATATTTTTCTTGGCTCTTTCTATCTCAAATAGTTCTATCATAATATATTTAATTTTAAGGACCAAAACTATACTCAACTCATTTAAAATGTTTAACAACTACAAATCCATAAGCTTAAGTAACACCACAATCACGTTATCTTTATATCTCTGAACCATTTAAACTTTTTTTTTATTCTACATCATCTTTCTCTTTTTAAATATATGGTAAATTTAACTATTTTTCTTGGTGATAATTATACATGGACAACAAATTCAAAAACATGCCTACTCTTTTCAAGTTTGTATTTTTGAGGAATAAACAGATTTATGAAATCTTAGTTGCTCCTATTATAGTTATAACAAGGATGAAATACTTCAATCACAAATAAAAACATTGAGTAATACTGTCTATCTGCATAATTTATACAAATAAATATATATTCTGTGCTATTCTTATTAAAGTTTAGGCCTTTTTAATTTAAATAAAATAAAATAACATATATGTAATTGTTATTTGATAACAAGAAAAAAAAACATCCCTATGAGTAAAATGAGCATATCATGAAACTGTAAGATGTTTTATTTGTTTCAAAATTAATGTTACTACCAAATGGGAGTATTAATGTAAACATCTTAAATGTTCTAAGTATTCACAGAGGATTACAAATATTGAGATGCACAAGATTTTAAGCTCAACCACCTATGTGTTATTTTTTGAGAGCTAAACAATTATAGAGAGATGTTACATTGTGTTTCTGGTGCTTTTAAGTTTCACTTTATATAACCGTTTTTTTTTTATGTGGGATGGCAAGGAAAAGCAGCCTTACGAGTACTTTCATGTGACAGATTTCTTTTATCTAAAACTCCAACAACTGTTGGTTTTTCTTTGTTTATTACACATACAAAATATTAATTGATAGTTGATTTTCTGTTTCAGATCTATGTTTTAACTACTAGTTCAAAGTAAATTAAGGGCTTGATAATTATCCTGTATCCCAATATTGGAAATAATCTGTTGTTTTATTACTATTTCATACACGGCTGTAGTTATTTACCAGACTAATGTTATAAGTGCATTAAAATGGTCCTTAGCAAACACAGAATCTTGTATAGCTTGTGGAGTTTGATGACATCAATTTTCTAAAGTTTTTGTAATTTTCGTGTATGGAAAAAATTGTTATCACAATTTGCAGTTACTGTACACATGAGCTTTTTATTATTTCAGCTGAAAATAAAGTTTTGTCATAAGTATTTCAGTGCATTTCATAACTGACAAATGAGATAAACTGAAATGAACTACAAAATATAAAAATGCTTCAGCAAGATGCAACTTTCTCTTCTCTGAACTGTCAGACATATGAACAGCTCTAGAGCTGGTAGTTATCTGTAAAATATTGTTACAAGCCAATGGTGTACGACCTACCATTTGGATTGTGTATGGGTCCAATAACAGGTTTTGTCACACACCATTCATACCAAACATTTTTTCGATTAGCACACCTCCAGAAATGAACCTGAAGCTGACAACCTGCTTTCAACTGAATGGGTTCCTAATGATAAAAAAACAAAACAAAATTGAAAAAAATTATGGTACTACATCTGGACTGCCTAAATTATTGTTTTATAAAATGTTTTAATAAAAAGAAATGTCCACTTTACATTGTTATCTTTGTACCCTAAAAAGCTATTATTTCTAGCATTAAGCACAGAGTTACTTCAAATGGCACATCATTTCCCTTAGTGACAGAAGAATCTCCCCTCCCAAAATCCAATGGGCCTAGGGAACATTAGATAGTAGCTTATTGGTATGATGTGGTAATTTCCAGCTTCTTGATTTCTATACTCCAATACGTATTTGTAAGAGAATCTCTTAATGACAAATGTCTAAAATTCCAACCAATAATGATAAGCCCACATGTAAACAATTCATTGTTATGTGCATTATTCATAATTGACTCACATATACTTGAGTGCAGCTAAACTCAAAGACTGTGATGTAATGCTATTGTCTTAGACTGTTGAATTAATAAACATTTGGTGGAAAAGGGTGGGATAGAATTTAATGACATGCCTTAGAAATAAATGTTTAAAGTTTAAAAAATTAATCTGGATATTTTTTTCACTTTTAATACCAAAAAAATAAAAGATAACACCTAAAATTTTAAGAATTATAATATGACTGGAAAGTGCAAATTCAGTAATTCTCATGAAAATTTTAGTAATTCAGTGAATCATAAATATGGTCTGTTCATAACTGTGTAAACCTGGTAATACTGTGACCAGAAACGCATGTTTTTCAATTTGGGAATGTTTAATTTAGGCATACAAACAGGCTGTTTAATGGACCCAGAAATGAGTAATATTAGTTCCTGTTAAAGTACTTTCATTTATTAAAACATAAATGCTAATATGACCATAGCAACTACTATTGAACCAAGTAGGTCGAGTTCAATTTGTATGAAAAACATACATTTTATTTTTCCATTCCTAAAGAATGTACTTTTACAGTTGATCTAATATGTCATGTTTTAGAAGAACAGCCACACAATAGAAAGCATAAACTAAAAGTCCAACATTTATACTTTGTTTGTTTTTTGAATTTCGTGCATAGCTACAAGAGGGCTATCTGTGCTAGCCGTCCCTAATTTAGCAGTGTAAGACTAGAGGGAAGGAAGCTAGTCATCACCACCCACCGCCAACTCTTGAGCTACTATTTTACCAACGAATAGTGGGATTGACTGTCACATTATAATGCCCCCCACGGCTGAAAGAGTGAGCATGTTTGGTGTGACGGAGATTTGAACTCGCAGATTGCGAGTCGAGCACCTTAACCACCTGGTCATGCCGGCTCCCCACAATTTATATATGTGTATCATTATTTCTAGGGAGGTAGTATACAACTATTAAAGGAGAAATGTGCAACATACACATTTTATAACTATTTAACACATACCCATCGTTCTCTGTTTATTATAGATACGTTTCATATATATAAAATGTTCCTTAAGCTATGTTAATATTATTATTATTTACCGATGACAGAATATGTAAACTCTGATATGTTCAAGATTCATATGAATTTGTATCTTTTGTTTTTGATGTTAATATTTTTGAATTCACGTTGAGATTTTAACTTAAAAATAAAAAAAAAATTAAGAAGTTATTGTATATGATTAACATATCTAATCCACAGGCTTAACTTTATATGGTCTGTAAATATTATCATTTATTCAAGTATTTTACAAAGTACATTACAAAGAATGAAGAATTTGAACATTCTAATACTGAGCAAAAAATAAATCATGAAACTGGTTTAAACTGCAGTACATTTTTATTGTATTTGCATACAAATAATGTAGTAAGTACCTCACCTTTAAAGGAAAAAAAACTGGAAACCAACTAAACATTCCAGGAGAATGAGTTTCAGGAACTATACCTATCAGAAATAAATTGTGACAAAATGAAATTCAACTATTACATCTTAAATTTGAAAACATCTATTAACAAGCAGAAACTTTCTCAAGAGTTTATCCACTCATTACACTACTTGAGAAGTACCACTAAAACTATAAAGAATGTCGTGCAAAAGAATTGTTACTATACTATATTAAGTAGTCTCAAGTACTTTGAAAATATGTCTTACATTTTCTGGTGAAATTATATACATTTTGCTTAATTGTTATTATCATTATTATTACCTTTAATGCAAAACTGCTCAAAACTAAATCATTTACTTAATTTTACATTCATATACAGAACTATGTCCAAAACAGCTAACAAATTCACAGATATCACAAGTGTTTTCTGTTCTACACCTGTGCTTTCAGAGAAAATTAAAAACCTTGTTAAAAATCTTTATTCAATATAAAAATCATTCCAAACTGTACCACTTACTCAGTTTGATATTTTTATACAGAACTGTGTCAAAGTAGCCAGCAAATCCATGCAGAACATAATTGTTTTCAATATGAAAAGTGAGGTTTTTATACCTTGTGTTGTTTATAACTTCATCTGAAATGGTAATACCAGCAAGAAAAATCACATTTAATATACTACAACTACTAAACAAGAAATATACACTTTACACAAAGCTACTGTCCAACTTAACCTTTCCAAGGACAAGTCGATATGCTGAATAAAAAAAAATAACCTTTTTTTTTGGAAAGGATTAAATACAAAATAAACTTCATACTCCCAATAGGAACTTTTTGGTACTTGTGAAATGTAATCTACCATTCCAATGTTTACCCACCTAAGTTTCTATTTGTATCTCATGAGTGAACAAGCTACTATAGTTCAATTTTCATTGTGTAAATATGAATCACTGCATTTTAATTATTTTATTTTAATCTTTTCTTACCTCATAACTGAAAATATTCATATGCCACTAACAACAATGAGTGACTGCTTAAGACATATATGAAAGCTACAACTAAGAACTGGATTTTTACATTTTTTTTACAGATTGAAGCATTAAAAAAACAAAAAACTCTTACTTTAAAGGTTTGTTGGAAGGCCAGAAAACATTTTTCAACTACTTCAAGTACATATATATTAGACTTAACAAATTTCAAATCAAATAGTTCCTATAAGTTAAAACTGATACAATGATAGTCAAAAAATGGAATTTAACAAATTCAAACACACAAAGACATTATGGAACATGTTATTTATAAATAAGAAAATAAAGAATCTTTCAACCAAGACTGTGGTGGAACAGGAAATTTTACAGAAGCAGAAATTAAAATTGAATCTAATACACAAAAAATTGGTACTTTTGACTGTATATTGTAAACCTATATTAGATACCCTGCATTTCAGCTAAGAAAAGTGTTAAATGAAGTAGTCATTATTTATGACTAGTTTTTAATTGCTTTTATTAGAAAATTCAATTCTTGGAAGTGTTGAGCCTAAAACTTTTATTTACAAATGTAATGTAACAACTCAGTTTTAATAGATTTGAGTACTAACTAAAGAATTAAAAGTAGCTTGTCAAAACTTAAAATATACCTGCTAATTCAATTACTTTATGTAGTTTTCACAGAGAACAAAGACAAAATGAATCTGGTCATGAAAACAAGAAATAATGAACAAAAACTGGATATTTTAAACAGAAAACAAAACTACTCAAGCAAAAACAGAACAGAAAAAAAATTCTAGAACAAAAATAGAATATTTTGAACAAACAAACAAAAGTAATGAAGAAACAGAAAGTTTGAACATGAAAAAACTACCAGAAACAAATAAGAATATTTTAAATAGAAGAAAAACAACAATAAGAAACTACTGGAGCAAAAAATCAGACATTTTAAAACAAAATTCACCATAGCAAAAACAGAATTTTTAAAAAGTAAATAAAAAGTAGGAAATAAAATAAAAGGTTTTAAACAGGAGAATACTAAGCAGTTAATATCACTCTTGTTCAAATGTAACCGTCAAAGAACACTCAACTGATGAGAGTATACTATGAAAGGAATTTCAACCAATTGTATGAAACCTTTAAAATCAATATAAATAAATATTGATTTAATTTTCTTAGCATATTCTTTCATGGAAGCATTTAACAGAAACCAAGTCAACTTTATGCAATATAAAGATCATACATTAACATTAGATTTAGTTCATACATGTCCAATTCTAACTTGGGAGTTAAGTTTTAATGATCAGCCTATTTGTACTAGAAATAATTGAGATATTTCTCTGTGACATAAAGGTTTCAAGGCTAAAAAAATCATAGAGTGGTTTATACATCTTATTGTTTAATTCTTTAACATCAAGTTTTTGATAAATGTATCTTCTTACCTCTGTTTGGATGGTGGAAGCTGAAAAGTGGTTGTGGTGATGCAAGTTCTGTTCTGTTGTGTAGTCTTACAACATATGGCATTTCAAAACAGGTCTGTTAAAATGAAGCATCACTTGTATTTTAAAATCATCAATTATGTTTTACAATAGTGTAATAGGTTCAAGTAGTCAATAAATTGTAAAGTGACACTGTCAATTCTATTTTGTCAAAAACTGTTAACAGAAATATGTTTCAGAATTAGAATTAAGACTTAATTAATAATTTTGAAAAATATTTAAACTGAACACAAATAACACAATGTGTTCTGAAGCTCAGTAAAAAAGTTTCTTACCGCAGTAATACAAAATTTATATTGACTATAGAAATGACTTTTCAAGAAAGAAAAATAGGCTTGATCAGTATTCACAGTAACTTCAGAAAAACTACTTGTACAAATCTAAAACAAGTATTTATGCAACAGCATAGATTTTTATTCAACATTAAAAATGTTTTAATATATAAATGGCTTAAAAAATATTACAAGTTTTACTTACATGGAGATCTGTATTTCTTTTTCAGCTTAAATAATAATACTATGAAATAAAATGTACAATGACAAAAACAAGAGAAAAGTATATATAAATTACAAATGCCATTTTCAAGGCAGTAAAGATATTCACTGCAGTATCCCCAGGAACCTGAGAACATGTCACTCAAACAATCTATTGATGCACACACCTCACGCACATGTATCAGTTTTATTCAAAATGATTCACCACTAGCTATCAGGCAAGTGCCCAGAACTAGTTCAAACAATTGAAACACTTTGGTACTAGCTGAACGTACAGCGAAGAGATGGACAAGAAGTAGTAGTAAAGAATCAAGGCAAGCAAGCTTATAACTGTAGACAATTCAGGTTATTAAAACACAATGCCAAGAGATAGAGCTACAAGTTTGTCAACAATATAAACATACTTCATGGTGACTAATTCTCAGATGTTATGTTTCTACAGTATACTTGGTAATGACTGATCTGATGGAATCAGAGGTGAGAGTTTTCTGTCTTTAGAGAATTTTCCATCTTACAAGTTTTGGAGAAAATGTGAAAAATTAAGAGATGTTTCTATATTACTATACATATAAAACAATGTTTTGAAGTTTTGAAATGCACCAATAGTTGTTGACTGTCATTTCTGTTAATTCTTATTTATTACTCTCTAATCATTGACTACATGACTTTATAATGAATGTTTTGTTATGATGGTCTTCTTGAAATGTGAAGATGAAACAGCCCTCATTGATAAATTTGTGAAAAATAAATGGTGTTGACAGTGTTGTGAAGAAAGATATTCTTTAAACAGGCTGTACAAAAAACAAACATTTCTAGACAATATTTTTGTATTGCTTCAACCGTTGTCTGAATTATGGAAGAAGTGGCAAAACTAGTCCTTTGCAATCACCACATGAAAGATGTACAGCATGTTAAATTATTTTCATCATAGTTAAGTAACCAAACCTTTCCAGTATTGAGCCATAGAGCATACATCTCTGATCAAGAGAGCTTGACTAAACCAAAAGAATAAAGAACAAAAAAAATTCAGACTTCAAGCAATCAGAAAATTGCCAAGAACTCTACAAGACTGTTGTGTTGAGTACCATGATGAAGTGCAGAAAAAGTTGTAGCAGAAACACAGAAGAAACAAATATCTTTACAGAAGATTCCAGTGTCAGTGATAAGTCTGGGAAAAACAGTACTGAGAAAAAAGGGTTACCTTCATCAACTACTGGGGACTTACCAACCAGTTCACCGAAGTCCAAAAAATCAAGGATAACCTCAATTATGGACTGGATTAAGATGAGGCCATCGGGCCTATCTTGTATATTTGTTTGTTGATCCAAGAACCTCATTAAGCTGTTTCTTGAAGGATCCCAGACTCAGCTTCAACATCATGTTCCGGACACTCATGACTCTTTGTGCAAAGAAATGCCTTCCATTATTGGTGATAAATGTGTCTACAATTAATTTTCAAATAGTCTTAATAAAGAACGTTTAGTTTTGGTTTGAAGGTTCTTTCTGTATAGCCTGTTTCTTTTTTCTTTGGGAAATTTTGAAAGTTATGTTCACTCTTTTTTTGTATATTTTAAGATTTTTTGCAGTTATTGTGCATAGTGTGAGTTTGTTTCTGTAAGTTGTATATACATATATCTGTTTTGTACTTTTAGTGCAACTGTTAAAACAAAAATGACTAAAAAGTTTTGACTAGCTCTGAAGCTTACATTTTTATAGTCTTGGCTACTTGTTGTACTTCCAACCCTGTAGAAAGAGTCAACCCTAACAATCATCACATGCCAACAGCATATGTTCTAAAAAGTCATTTACAACTCAGCAGATTATTACTGTGATGTAAGTTAAGCTCCTTTTTGTTTTGCTCTCTTACATTTTGAATATTTCTGTTTTACAAGTAACACAAAACCCAACAATCCGAGCACTTTCAAAAAGTGGACTCTTTTTCATTAGAGGCAAATTGAAGTTTCATTTAGGCTAAGGTAAGTTACTTAAGTTCATTGTGTAGAAGAGAACTTTTGCAATGTTTTAAAAAACAGAACCCCTCCCCTCTGTGTAGAGTTGACTACACTCCCGATGTTTACTTTTCAATGACCTGAACTTTTGTAATCTATATGCTCAGTGCCACATACTTTTAGTTACTTAAGTTTGTGAAACAACATCTATATTGTGTTCAGCTTCAATTGCAAAATCAGCCAGTGAAGTATATATCACAATCAAGTAATAAATATTTCAGTCAATCAATTTGGGTATAAATGAGGTTCACTCTCATGATCTTTTAAGTTTAAGAGGTTTTTATTAGACAGAATTCCCAACTCTACTGAATACTCGTGGGTTCAAACACATTAATTATATGTAAAGTAACTGTCTGAAAATCCATGTTTTTTCTTCTTGTACTTGCTCATGTTTGACATTATGTTCAAAAATATGAAGGATTTAATATATATCATTCACAAGTAATCCACACCACACTTATAATCCTTATTTAAAGTTACTTAGAACATTTATACTAACAATGTGTGGTTTTTCTCTATCTTTCATCTGTACCACTTCACCGTAGAGTTTTGGAGACTGAAGAGGAGCCAGATGGGATGTATAGCTTTCAGGGATACTTATTCCATCATCTGTGAGAAATAAAAGAAAACCGAATGACACATACATGAAAATCAGTACCGTCAACTTTTTAAAAATGCTTGTCCTGTAAAATCTTACATTCTAAGTAACATTATATATGGAAAAATACTATAGTCTTTATTTTCTATTCAGTGTTTTATCAAGTAATCCAAAAATAGATTCATCAGAGAAAACAATAACAGCTTAAGTACCTTTAAGAAACTTCTGAGCACCATCTAAACATTCTGGAGAAAGTTCATTGTCTCCAAACGATCCTAAAAGTTCAGAGACTAAAATGTCAGCTTTTTCTGGTGGATTCCAATCTCTCATGTCGGAAGAAACTACTGTAACCTTAGACCCCCACATCTCATCCTGCAGATTTTGTAGTCTATCAGCATGAAAATAACCAATATTAAAAGTGTAATAGAACAAGATAAGTTTGCAAAAAATGTTTTTATGATACAGAAATCAAACTATGGAAAAAAAAGAGCTCACATACAAAAAGTAGACTTGTAAGGTTTTATTCCAACACTGCTTTATAAAAAGACCATAAATTTCTACCAGAAAACATTTAATAGCATACAAAAAAATCTGTTAACACTTACCAAAGAGCTTAACGAATATTTTACATAATGAAACCAGTTTTCTTATAGAAAAATTTAATCATGTATAATAATAATAATAACCTTATAATGGAGAAAAAAAGACTGCACATTTGCTCATAAAGGCATTAAAACACGACAACGATCATTCATCTCAAATGGAAATTTTTTGTATGTTGCCAATATTCATTCAAGTTACTAAAAATGCATGAATTTTTAAATTAATAAAATAAAACGTAAAAAATATTTAAAAGAAAGATTTCATATATATAAAAAAATGTACTTACGTAACAACAGCATTAGGATTTTTTTCTACAGCAAACACTTTTATATCTCTTTCAGCTTTTTTTGCTGCTGCCAAAGCTGCACGAACTAAAGGTCCTCTTCCTGCTCCAACTACCATCAAGACTCTAATAAAAACAAATCAATTGGGTATATGGAAAATGTTAAAGTTCTTTCTAAGTTCAAATTAAATATTTCAATAAAGAGATTATACATAAAACCTTAAATCCTTGATATTGTTCTCATTGGGGGAGATTTTATAAAAAACAGTTCTTTACAACTTTATAATTTGGATGTAAATTAGATTTATAGAAAACATAAGGAAAAGCATGACTATCTGGAACTATGTTGATATTTCTGTCACTCACTGTTTTGTAAGATATTGACATCATGCATAAATCTGGCAACTGTAGCACAAAATAAAATATTTCAAAAGAATTCATGTTGTGGGATATTAAAATTTTCAAGTGAGTAAGTTTTATTTCATATAATATAATACTAAGTACAGTCTCAGTTCTTCAGCAGTAACATTTAACACCTTGGTATACAAGATAGTAATTATCAAAAAAGAAAATATTTTTCTTAATTCAAAGTACATATTTCTCATTACTAAATTGTTTATCAATTAACAAAAAAAAATAAATAAACATTTTGTGTCATTTCAAACCTGAACCAAACAGCTATTTGTATCATCTTATTCAAATACTATTAACTATTAAATGCCCAAAAATTTGTATGTATTTTTATATTTATATTCCTTAAGAATATATACTCATGTTTTGATAAAAATTACTAAAACATTTTAGACAAAAACTGAATGATTAATTATTACTAGTGTTACATACAAAACTCTACTGTCTTTCTCCGTACTAGGAACTTTGTCCAATATTGCTTCGTACATGGCCTAAAGTAGTAAAGAAAATAAATAAATAAATGCAAAAACTGTCCCTAGACTCCCTCATATTTATAATATTTTAACTTAAGTTTAAAATAAGGATGAAGAATCAAGTGACTTGAATGTGGTAAGCCTTAATTAGATTATTGTATGTAAAATTGAGAACAAATGGGAAAAAAAGGGGCCTTACACATACAAGTCATTATTCTTGTAAAATGGTAAAACACCAATGACCAATCATATGAATTTTATTAATATCTTCCTAAATGTAAAACTTATAAAAACGCATTGCAATATAAAAATAACGTCAAAGAAAACTAACAAACATTTTTCAGTTCAAAAGAAGGAAACACTTGACTATGAAAGTGGAACATAAAAACCTCGAACAATTCCTTAACAGTGGGTTTAAGAAATGGAGAACATATTCTATTATAAAACAATGCTTTAAGGTCACTTTTGACTAAGAAGCTTGAACTGATATTTAATCTTCTATGGACTGTATTTGTTTAGATAGAAGTGGACAGTATTTTGGTCTGTGTACTGAGGTCTGCACACAGAAAAAGGCAGATTGCTCACCTCTGAGCTTTATGGACATGCAGTTTATTAAATGTTCAAAAGTAGTACAAAAAATGGCTAAAGTTTATATTCCTTACGGACATATAATCATATTTTTATAAAATTGTTACATATCTATCAAACTAAGGCATAGAAACAATGTTAAAAACATGAGTCAAAACACTATTTGTAATAAAAAGGACTTGTTTTGGCAACACCAAGGTATGTTTTGTTGTCCTAGTTACCAACACATGTACCTGCTTTTGTATTTAATAAAAAGCTTTATGTTTTATAACGTTGTTTTTGTGATTTAGTTTGATAGATTTGAGCACAAAGAAGTTTACATATTTATATATATCTGTTCTTACTGTTTAAACTTGTTCATCTATATCTTTATTTAGATATTTCCTTAAAAGAAACAAAAAGACTGTGAAGGTCGTGTAGTAGATAAGTCAGAGAAACAGTTTTAGACTTAAGACCATAATTCAACTAATAAACTAACTGAAAAAAGCTAAAGATGCAATCACAAGTAGATATAAGTTGTATATATCTGTAAGGTTTACTTGCATAAATTAAAACCTAAAAAAAATTCTCATATACAAATAATGAAATACGGTATTTTTCAGGACTTAGTACTGTATTAATTAATACATAATTGGAACATTTTTCCACAACATTACATTAAGTTTTATTCTTATTAATACTGATAAATTTACCAGTTTACCCTTTGGTATTCTGTGTACTTCACTGGATCTTTCTCAAAAATTTCATAGGTGCAGGATTCTAAGTTGTCCATCAGAGGCTTAAAAGTTCAAAATGAAAAAAGGTAAGTCTTTTCTAGGAGTAAACTAATTCTGATCTAACTCCAAAACTAATGTTTTTATGTTAATAAGATTTCATTATCGCATATTATATTTTTTGCTTTTTAACTCACATCGTAACGTGACACAAACTGCGATTGATTTCTTCACAGAACAAACAAAAAATGTCATTAACAATAAAGAAAATTATGTGTGTTTCATTCTGTATAAAATACTGAAAAGTGTTTCATCTGGGCTCGTAAAGTTATTAAACAATACTCTTATTAGGACAGTTCAATTCAAAATGAAAATAAATAAATAAATATCTGAACATTATCATACACAACCCAGTACCCCAGTTTATTTATAGTTTTAGTTTTTAATTAACATTGCTTTGTTGTGCTTCCTGTCTAGAAATGAAGATGAAGACATGCACGATTTCAGAGAGATTACATATTTTATACTAAACTTTTATTTGGAGATATGCAGAAAAACAAATTTATTCCATCATTACTGATCTGATAAAGTTTACACTGAATGGTAGTAAAATAAAATATGCATTGTAAACTTATGAAAAGTACTGAAGATCAAAATATAATTAAAATACAAAAGAAAATTCATATATTTTTTCCACAATTCTGCAGAAAACTTTGCTTAACCATGTGGCGAATTAGAGTAAAATATACAGGTCTTATGCATTTCACTAGAACTGCCTAATTTTCTTGTTTGTTGCTTTCACTTTAAAACATTTTTTTTCTTTCATTCTGAAAACTTCCTAAGAGTAAGTTTTTCCAAAAAACCCTGGTTTTTTTTTGTAGATGTAAATTTAGAAGTAGCTCTTTTCATGCTACCCAGGACACACTTAGTATTCTTATTTTGTTTGTTTGTAGTATACATTTATGTTCAGTTTAGAATAATTTTCTGTGCGATATAGTTGGGAAGAAAAAACAAAAATATTGCTTATGAAATATTTTTGAACTTTAGTTTACAATACATGAATAATATAGGTTTTGAAAAAAAAAAATTGTATCACAGTAATACAGCTCATGAATTGCTTGTGTCATTTTAATTCTTAAGCATTTCTTATTACGTTTTTACACTAAAAAATGGAACCTTCTGTGGGGTTCATAGGACAAGCAGAAATACTCACTACCCTAAATACCCTACCCATGTCTTACTATAAGGAAAATGAAGCTTCCTTTGTTCGGTTTTTTTTAGAAGAAAGGATGCTAAAAAAGCTTAATCAGTATTTGTTTTTGGCTTATATCTGTGGTTTAGACTGATTACAAATACTAGAATTATTACTTTCAGACTAAGCTGCAACAATAGCTGTTCAGTAGATTTTCTTGTAATATAAAACATATATCATAACCAGTAGTAAGACAATATAGTAATTAAAATATATTAAAAATATCATTTATACCACTTAGATGCACAACTTAACATGAAGAAAGCTTCATAAACTTTTTCTTTTATGGGCACAAGAACATTACTATCAAAGTCAAAAAATAAAATATAAATCAAATCTTTCAAAGCCCACCCTTTTCTAATTAGGCTGGTGAGGATATCACTTTTAAAAAAAGTATTTACTAAAACAGTTGAAAAATGACTGAAAAAGTGAAAGCCTCATTACTGTTGATGCTTGTCACTTTGCAGAAGTACTTGTCATCTAAATGTGAACCAAACAACTTTTTATTTGTATCCACTTAGCAATAGCACCATTAAAATGGTTTGCAACAATTAAGCCTAATCCACTCATTTTATTAACATTAAGCTATAAATATTCCAAATGAAGAACATCAAATCAGGAGTGACTGAATACAGAAACAAAGGTAGTTAACACTAGTATAATCAACAAAGAATATTACTTTACACCTGGTGTTAAGAAACCATACAACATTTAGAATAAGCTCTCAAATACTGGCTAAAAATAATTGAAAATATATTTTAAAGCTGCCCCTAATTTTTAATTGATAAATGAGAAGAAAGACAGCTATTCATCATCAACCACCACCACCCTATGGGTTACTCCAAAAGAATAGTGGGATTTGCCATCACTCCAATAAAGCCCCAAAGTGAAATGGCAAAAATAAATATGAGTGATGGGAGCACTAGCTTTTAAAGAAACTAATGCAATAAGAATTCTGCAGCAAAGAGTAAATGAAACTTTTGGTGGTGTATGAATTTTATGATACTATGTTTTGACAAAGGCCCTTCAATGTAGTTGACAAATTTACAAGATAAAGATGGGGTATGACATAAGACCCGAATTTCCTATATCTTAAAATGTTGGTGAATCAAGGTTTTTCAGATTGGGTAGAGTTATGAGCTGATACTTCTATCTTAGCTACATCTGTAAAAAAACGTTTGGAGAGAGCTAGCTAACATGGATATTAAGATTTTTTTTTAAACTGCCTGAATTTTAGAAACCAAGTCAGGTGATGTAGTGAGATCCAAAACAAAATACTAGTGAAAAGTGGTATTACAGAGACATGACAATGGTAAATACTGCCTAGCACACAAAGAAACAGATTTTAAAAAATAATGAGTTAACAGAAACATAATCAATTACACCAGTGACTTCTATAGCTAACATAACTCAATAGGAGTTAACTATGCATGTGGTAAATACAAATATTAGCTCTTGAAAACATTGAACAAACTTCAAGAAGGAATAACATTTCAAGTTGGCTCAAGAAGGAAATGTTAACAGCGTATTATTAACAATCAATGAATGAAACAGATTACCTTCATTCAACCAGAGGAAGAGTATGCTGTAATTGAACAACATTTTGTCCTCCTTGGTACATAGTATTTCATAAACACTTCCATCTTTATTTACCCGAAACTTCAATTTAAGTATAATGCTGAAATATGCAGTCCATGGATGAGATGCTTAAAAATTATTAATGCAAAGTTATCAAAAATGGCCTTTCTCCATAACCCACAAACAGTTCAGCCCTTTTCATCAAATGTTGCTAATGAATTCTTAATAACAGCTGAAGACTCTTGAATAGTTGGAACTATTGTCTTAATGGAAAGACATTTATTCATTAGAAGTTAGAAAAATAATACCAAAATGTTCTTCCTGAATGGGAAGTTCACACTCATTTTGCATGAGATAAAATTCACAAGTTGTTACACAGAGAAGATGAAACATGGTTACTAATTGTTTTACATAAATATCGGGTTGTGGAGCTGGTGTAGGCTTATGAGTAGAAAGGACAGGTGTACCTGTTAACAGTTAGTGAATTCATTAATTAGGAAATTTTCATCTTTTGAAACAGAAAAATGCCAAAGTCTAAAAGCACTTCTGAAAACAATTCTAAGTAACCTGTGGAAAGGCTCTTCTCAGAAGTTAGTATCCTAAAACATGTGACCCTTTGCTAAAGTATGGCAGAACAAAGGTTATGGTGCATTTTCTGAGGGTGTAAAGAACTTGAAGATTTTGTTTATTTAAAAGTTCATCAAGAATCGTTTTTTTTTTTTGTGTTATTGACTGACAAACATATTTTTTTCTTGAGGTAGTAATTTTTTTTGCTGAAATGAAACAATAGATGTTATCGCTATTTCCAAAGTGATAGAAATGCTGTTTCAATCACTAAGTCAGACATGGGGACAAGTGATTTGAGTTTAAGTAAGATTAACTTAAAATTTTTTTAGAAGCGTAAACAAGTTTTAAGCCTTTTTTTTTAAAAAAAAAAGCCTGGACCTTCAGCTTTTATAACCCCTTATCATCCACGGAAGGTTTTTTTGCATTACTGTACAGATGCTTTGACCACATCAAACCAGGCACAAAGCACTCATATATGGGTAGAGATGATGTCTAGCATGTGTAAATATATGGGTGGAGTGATAAAAAGTTAAACATCTTTGGACTTGAGTTTAACACTATCATAACCAGTTGTAACTATAACATGGTTCATACTCTTTACAAAATAAAAGTTTAGGAGTTTTTCCAGGACCAGTACTCAGATGTCCAGGACTCTTGAATATTGCCATGTAAGATAAAATTTCCAAGAGTTTCTGTCATCAAATGTTCCACCACTAAAAATTGCAACAGTTTGCAGTCTCGCAAAGAAAGAGATTCACACTGGCTGAAATGAAGTATAAACTTTTTAGTTTGTTTAATTTTCTTAAGTTAAACCAATTACTTCACATTGCAATTTTTCCAGGATTTACAGTACTGACACTTTTCAAGTTAATTTTTCATGACTTTACAGGGTTTCAAGGATCTGTGCAAACCCTGTTTTCAGGTGTGGAGTAAAAAACATAATTCCAACTCAAAAAAAAAAAGTTAGAACTGATACTTCATGAAATTATAAAACATTTATTTTGTGTAATTCATGAATAAATATGTTTCAGCTTTCATTAATACACAGTTTCCACTTCCAGGAAGTAAACAATTCATTTATCATTTTCTAAAAATGATTTTATCATCTCAAAGTATAGTTTTATATATTCACTAAGAAATTATCATCCCTTGAAAATGTAATGGTTCATGTCTTGTTTTTTCAGGTGACTTTCCATCTCTGTAAGTGTTTTAATTATTACAGCCTTTTCTTGCCCCCCTTTTTATGATGCATGTAGTTTGAGTAATTACTAATGAAGCTCAGCTTTCAAAATAACTATAGCTAATAATTAAAAATGATTAGATAGAAAAGATTCATTTTATTTGCATCTACAAAATGAATAGTGGTTGCAGAAGTAATTTGCGGTTTGTTGAAATACAGATACTTTAACAGCTAATTTGCACTGACAACAATATGTGTGTTAAGCTAAAACCCTTTGTCTGTTGTACCTTATAAATAAGCCCCAAATAAGACTGTATGATCATGTTACTTTGATATTTTTTAGCATAAATGATGGCAAATGCATTATTCTTTAATGACTTTAAAATGCAAAGTAATATTACTGACACTTTTAGGCACTGTTCTACAACTATATCTGGAATACTTAAAACAACTTCCAATCACTTGAACAGAAAGTATTCTGGAATTGATGTAACTACAAAAACATTCCATGTTGCAAGTTCAGTCATGACAATGTTATTTATATCAAGTTTTGTAGCAGAACAAAATAAATTTCTCTGATGGCTTCAGCTTGACCTTAAGTTATTTTTTATAAAATGCTTGACACCACAGCTGCATCAAGTGCTATTTCTCATGGTGTTTAGAAATCAGTTGAATCTTCAGAGAATTTGTTGAATTACAAATTAGTAAAAGTAATAGATGCCTGTTTTTATAGGAGAATAAATGAATTTGTTAATTTATTCCTTATCTGTCCTGGAAGTACTTAAGTTTTAAGACTCACCCACAAAACTTTATAAAGAGCAGATGTCATCTCTGAATTATGTATTTTGGCAATTTTTTTTTAAAAAAAGCAATAAATATTTTTTACAGTTACTACTTCTACTTTATTATAAAGCAATCACAAAGTAAAAAAAAAAATCCTAGACAGTCATAAACTGTCATACACTTTCTAACTGAGTCACTTTATTAGATACAGTGAATCAAAGTTTTAAAACTGTATAAAACTAACCTGGAGAGGTACTTGCAAGTAGTCTTCATATCCTCGAGCAAACTGAGCTAAAGTGTCATCATTTGGTTGAGACTATAAATGCAGAAAATGACCCAATGCTAAAATGTTAATGTTGTCACTCTATTCTTTGTAATTATAAATTTCAACTTTTCAATTGTCAAATTATATTATAATATACAATTATAATGAAGCTGCAGTCATAATATTGAAAAACAAGTTGTTTTTTTACCCACTCTTTGATTACAGTCTGAATATATCGTGTACTCACAATGAATGTTGTTTCATGACACGAGTGTACCTTTTCATATTTAAAAGTTAAATAATCTCTTGTATTAGTTAATTTACTTACCTTCCATGAAAGCTCCACTAATAATAAAAATAAAAGTTGGTTATAAAATGCATGTATGTTGTATTTCCCATATATGTAATAAGTGGGTTAAAGTATGATCTAGGTTTAAATCATAAACAACCCTTCACTTCCTAGTATTTTTTATTATAAGTCTCAATCACCTTCAGTAAGAAAAAAACAACACATTAATTAAACATCATTCTTACCATAATCATCAATAAGAAATTGAAACATACTTTTTTTTAAGAGTTTTACAAAATAAATAGTGATGAGATTTCAGTTGCAGTTAATAAATTTTAAAGTTATTATGCATTAATTCATTAAGGTACATATTTTAATCTGTCATAATTACCCAAAGTACAATGTAGTAAAGCAATATTGGAAAACTAGATTCATGCTCCTATTATAATTCTGGTATTTTCTTTGTTGTCATTCCTCCCATCTTTGCCTTTATCACAATAAAAGTTGAGTGAAACCTAAAGGCTAATGAGTTGGATTTTTTTGACTGATCACGTATTGAAAGGTCTTATTAAAATAATTTAAAAATTCAAAAATCTTGTATCTTAACAGCTTCTAAAATAAACAAAAGAACAAGTTTATCTTACCATCCAAAGATGATCCATGTACTGTTGGTAGTATCTGATACTTTCATGCCGATTTACACCTTTTATTAAAACTTGTACACCAAGCTGAAAATGAAATAAACATTATGTCTTTTTAGTTTATTCTTAAGATATGAAAAAGCCTTGTTTAGAGAATCATTTCTGACAGAGAAAATCAATGTTACATTCTTTTCTTTAAATGAACACGACAAACCTATTCCTAAAATAAGCAATGTTTTAATGCGAGTAAATTAACTGATATTGAAGAAAAATATATTATTCAGCATTCTCTTAAAAATCGTCTTTTTCATTTATCTCTAAGCCACCTATTCTAAGTCCTGAAACAGTAGGCAGGTGCCAGAAGATTAAAAGTTATTGATATTGTTTAGGCTTATTGTTTCATATATAATGCTTCCAGTTCAAAACTACATTGTGAAACTAGTTTTAATAGAAATATTAGATAATAAAGTTATCTGTGTAGAAACAAATGTTTTAGTTGATTAGTATTTCTTGATTAAATCTAATTTTTCCACTGAAGACACAAGTACAGTAGCATGTCAATTTTCTGGAAATGATAACCAACCAAACAGCTCCAGGCCTAATGTTACATACCATTTTACCTCCTATACATTGCAAATCAATCCATATCTATGCATGCACACCTAGTACCCTTTACAAATACAATGATTAAAGGTATTAAAATGCATATTTTAGATCGAATTATTTATATAGTTAACTATTTAATAACAACTGGGCAAAATATATACATATTTCGTTATAACCTTTAACTTTTATCTTTAAAATTAAATATTTTTAAATATTAAAATTAATTTTGTATTACAAACCAAAATCTTTTTTTAAATTATGCATTGGTAGATTAATAACATATTAAACCATTAAATGGAACTGAAAATTTTTTAATTACTAGTACTCATAGTTCATCACTAGTCCTCTTTTACAACACCCAGATGTAAAGAAAACAACAAAAATCTTGAAGCATGTTCACATAAATTTTGGTTGGTTTACAATATTTAAGTTCAGCGAGAATTAAAATTAATCTAATTTTTTTGGCTTTCAATTATAGTTGTTTAAAATATTTTTTAAATTTTAGTAACAAATACTTAAATAGCATATATAGAAATACAATATAAATTAATTTTGTAATTTAATGTTTTCTCTTAAACACTGTATCAAACAAGACACTTTAATAGAAAAACAGTATATATATAAATGACTACACTTACTTTAAATACATTTTGAAAAACTTGTTGGTGAGCTCGAGATAAAACTGGATATCCTTTCTTATTTGTCAAAAAGAGTGAAGTTGGTACAGTTATACAACGAATGGGTTCACCCATCCAACGGTTAATAATATCTTCTGAGGGAATGTCAGGACTTAGTTCAAGTGCGAGGCCAAATTTCTTATCCGTGTTACATACACTTCGAAAAGTATTCCACCTATAAAAGTTTTACACATTTTCACAACCATCAAAAATATATGAAAATAGAATGGGAAGAAGTAGATGATTTGATGTCCTACAAAAGATTAATCCTTTATGGACTCAGGAGATGTGACTGATATCCTCTGATTTCTTTCCTTCTCACCATGGTAATACTTAACAAATTTCCATGAAACTTGGTATAAATTTATTGAAGTAGTATTTAGGTTTGACGTTTTCAAAATTTTGTCATAAGACACTGTTTTTAAAACAAGAAAAATACTTCCTTCTTCTTAAGAGTTTCAATTTATTTTGGTTGATTAGAAATCACATTTTATATATCTAGTCAGGTTAAACTTGATTGATATTCAATAAACCTTCACATCCACACCTAACTCTTTTGTGCATGTCATGAACTCTAACAGTGCTAAATTTAAAAGTAATTAAACAACTTTATTATAAATGTATGTTAATAAACTTGACATAAAAACATATTTTATAATTCAAATTTGTATATTATTCAAATTTTAACTTCTTAATTTAAAAAAAAAATATTTAACATCTGTCACATGAGTCAGCCTGGCATCTTGATGTGGATCCAAAAAAATGAGTCATTCCAGAAAGGTTTGGGTGGTTTTGATTAGACAAAAAGATGTCTGGCAAGGTCTAGGTCACTGGACCAGACCTGTGACCTGACCCAAGACCATGAGAGCCAATATGGAGAAGTTAACTTGTAAATGTAAAGTAAAATAACATCCCAATGAAACATGCTTGAAATGTTTTAGATGTGGTTGTTAATTTAATGGTTTAAGTATAGCGATTAAGCTAAACTGTAGGTCTATGTCAAATGAGGGAAGAACTTATTCAGAGATATCACAATTGATTTGACATACCAGCTGAATCAGAGATTCATTAATTGATTACTGCATTGACAACAAATCATAAAAAAAATGAGCAAAATAATATCATTATCTTCAAAAAGGGAGATTAGAATCATATATAAGAAATCCTTAGTTCCATATTTTTTTTTAAACCAACAGCACAGTACAGCCCAAAGATTCAGTGTTGAAGTTGAAGCAGATGCATTACTAGATGATTTCCCTAGCAATTTTGAAAGTAAAAATGCCATTTCTGTAATGAAGATTAAATATAAGAAGGATGGTATAATGTCCAGTATGGTACCACCATAGTATAATCCATAGAGATTTCATCATGTCATATTTTCATTAATATTCAGTTTTTTGTTTGTTTTAAAAGTTGGGATGAGTTTTATTCATTGAGATCTAACAAAATAACCTTAAATCATCAGTTTCTGGAATGACTCCCCTGGTGACCATCCTAGGCTCAGCACTAAAGATGCTGGGCTGGCTCTTGTGGCAGCTGTTAAAAAAATTTCAATCTTTATTTTACTGTGTCATGTGACATCTTTGAGCTCCAATTTTTCCCTTTCATAAACTTGTAACATACAAAATAAGCTGCTGTAGTTTACAACCAATTAGAAACACAAACTGTGTATGACAGATTTGTAATGTTTACTAAAAGCTTACAGAATTTCATAAAGATAATATGTGTAGTAAATTCAGAATTATAGTAAACATTATTATGTATACCTTCACAGATATGGGATTGGTTAAATTGACCAATCCCACGAATAGATGGTTAACATAATTCTTTTGATACTCTATTTTGCAGACAACAGTTATCACAACTTCCAGTTATAAATCCTAAAAATTACAGCACAAACTGACAAAGACCTATTGGTGACTAAGGACTTTACCTTTCAAACAGGCATTTCCATTACCTTTGTCAGGCTAGGTATAGTGACTTTTGCTTATAGTATTCTTGGTAAAGACCAATTTGTATCTAATATACATAGTTTGTTTCAAATCATTAATAACTTTTATTTTCGTGCATGTTATTTGAATAAAATAAAAAAAGAGATTTGAGTTATTGGATTATTTTGCAATTAGCTAAAATAAAGACAACTGAGCTTAACTGATATCTTGTAATATAAGAAAATTTCTTTAGCTTTCAAACAAATAAAAACATTTTCAGGTGGGGAAAAAAGCATCTAAACAAGCTATAAAAAACTCCAGACTTGTGGCCTGCTCCTAAATGTCATTAGAATCCTTTATTCTCTTCTATTTGAGCTCTGGTTAATTAAATTCATAAAAATTATAATTTACTGCTCAAATCATCTTATTTGCTCTATATTGAGGAAAGGATATTTTCAAGGGTCAATAGTTTCTTAGCAAATATAAATCTATACTTTTGGATGGATAATAAAATTGTAAAAATTGTGTTGATTACAGCTGTGTATAAATAAAAATAAGAATGTTTTAATTTTTTCTTTATTAATTTTCTTTGCAAGTTACTCTTTGTAAGTATTACAAAATAACAAAGTACCAATTCTAAAATAACCGAGTTGAAAATTGTTACAACAGTGTTGGAATTACAATTTTTTACTTAAATTTTGAAATTTAATATGTAGGTGTGCATTCAACATCTGAAATGTGCTCACATGTCATGAGAAGTTTAATCCTATTTTAAAAGAGCAGTTTGCTTATACCAACTTAGTCAAACATAACCAAATATATAGAGTGGTACTACAGAAAACATTTTTATTTGGTTTACAGGAAATTCCCCACCACCTAACTGCACAAGTGGATCTGAAAATAAATCGTACAATAGAAGAAAATCTGGAAGGTATTCTCTCACGTGCCTTTAACCAATTTGTTCAGAAGACAAAAGTAACAAGGTCTTTTTTACAAAATTAAACAGAATTGAAGAAAAAACAAAGATAATTGTACGTTTCACAAATACTTCATTTATTTATGACTAACAGATATAAAAGAGTTTAGTGTAGGTAGTATTATTAATTGATTTATTTTGTGTTTGCATTTCACTGATGTTGAGGCTATGGAGATTTCTAGAAGGCCTAAGTGATGAATGTATAAACAGCTGTGACCAGATGAGCAAAAACAGAGTAAAAGTAAAGTTGTGTGAAAAAGAAGTTCGGTCAGAGAAAAGTTTAAAAAAATGTAAAGTTAACAGTTTTGGGAGTGAATGGCCTAACAGTTGATATTTTAGAGTGAGATTAACAGTTTTGAAAGAGATAATGAAAATAATTTGTCTCGTCAAAGGGTGTTCTAAACTCATTGCACCCACCTGTGTGGACTTTGACAAAAGGCAGACAATTATTGGAAATACAAAGAGCAGATGATTACTGGAAGTATGAAAAGCAGACAATTATTGGAAGTTCAGGATACAACTGTAGTAACTCATGTGACAATATTAGTAAATTATACATGGATACAACTGTGATAAAAATTAGAGAAAAATACTAAGTGGACTTTTGAAAAGAAGAAGAGAACTGTATAGTGTTTAATATACAACTATGATCTCCATAGTGTAAAGAATTTTGTACATATGTTTGACTTGTTTCAAATACACATATTATTTTAAAAACAAATGGAGTGCATACTGTTCATTTATTGTCAAATTTATCACCAATAAGTCCCAGACACCAACTGTACAAGAATCCTTAGTCCAACACACCCATATATTTACAATACAATATATATATATATACTACTAAAAAGTAAGTTCTTGACAATGACCATGGCAAAATCATTGTCATGAATAAATTAAGTATTTGTGAAATGTACAATTGTCTTTGTTTTTTTCTCTTAAATTCTGTAATTATGGAGTTTCACCAAGTACCAATAGTTTCAAGTACCAATTATATAAAAGTGGAAAAATAAAAAAAGCCCTTCAGGGCTATAATGAAAATATGGTCCAAAAGAAAGCATGGTAATAAAGAATATTCTGAAAACAACTGACAAGCACAAATGAAGCAGTTTCAATACAAAAGCTCAATATACTTGCTGATCAAAAGTCAAATATAAGAATAATAAATCTGATGAGCAAAGTACCACATAAAAGCTATTTGTGAAACTTAGGCATGAAAACATTTAAGGTTGCTGCAAGAAGTGATTTCAACTTGGCAGTACGAAATATATCTGACTAAGGAGAAGAAACAAGATGCCAAAATTGAGTAAATCATTTGAGAGATAGCAGTGGAATGGTAAAGTGAGAACTCCAGGCTTTAAAAAAACTCTCCATAGAAGATGCAGAAAGAGGAACAGAGAAAAAATAAAATCAAAGTGTAACTAGCTGTCCATTCACACAGCAAGGAAAGCAAAGAACTAATAAATTATTGTTTGTTTAAAAGTGATGGGAAGGTCTTAATGTACCAAAGGTTTTATTGATTTCTCTGAATATCATCCTGTTCTTTAGCCAAGATGTTAAATGATATTTAGATAACACATTTCATATAGGTAACTCAAAAGATAACTAAGGCTACACATATACAATTTGTATTTCTACACAAAATTACTCTCTGATACTCATTTTCTTTCCATGTAAATATGTTGAAATGAATGCAAGTACAAGATACCAAAATTAAAGATAATGTTATATAAAAAAAAGATGCAGTAAATTTTAACATATACATATTACAAAAGGATATATTTTTCACTTTTTCATTTATAAAAAATACAACTGAATGATACAATATTTCATTAGACTACTATATAATACAATTTCAAGTAAAGTTTACAATATTACATTTACTCAATGTCTTTGATTTCCACTACATACTTTTCATGAGGAAAGAATTGTTAAGATCTTTGTAAATCAATTAGAATGTTCTTGTCAGTTTATTCAACTGTATGTAAATAAAAAAAAAATCATATATCCAATTTTGAAATTTTTTTCTTCAAAGCCAAATTTACTAATGCATGAATATTTCAAAAGAAACTTATTACATACCAGTCCCATGTATCTATCTGCTTAGCTACTGTACTATCTTCAGTTGATTCTGGTTGGTTGATGTAAACTTCGGACAGATCTTCAGCAGCTTGCATAGGTACCTCAACCCAAACCTGGAACATACCCTGCAAGTTTTCATCAACTTAAGATACTGTATCCAAAGTAGACATTTTATGTTTTGTCTTGTTTTCATGAGTAGCACCAACATTCTTACAGAATTTGATATAACATAAAAATTTTATTACATATACTCACAATATTTAATAAAATGTTGCAAAATGTTTGCACTTATCATTCAAATTTGTTAGAATAACAAGGAAATAAAATGAAAAAAAAATATAATTTATTATTTTAAACAAATACTTTATGTTAGATTACAAAATGGATTTTATTTATGACTGCTTTACATTACATAAGTAGATGATTATAAAAGTATATGTTTTCTTGTTATTCAAAAACATTTATTTTCTTCCAGACGAAGTTATGAAATCATATTATATTCGAATAAATCATACAAGGTTATACTTACTGTAATATGTAAACCTCAGCTTGCATTATATATGAACTGATTATAAACAAAATACCCTATTGTTAAAAGAAAAAAACAGCCTAAATTATTAACCTGATATGATTCTGATGCTAGGATTCGACTGTGAATACATCGTGCAAGGTTGATACAATTTCCACTTTTAAGAGAAACGAGTACAGCTGACAGGCCTAAGTGAGCAGCATAGCCGAGTTCTTGCTGAAGGGCCTAAAAGGTTGTATTACGGAAAACAATTAAAAAAAGTACATAAAATTAAATATATGTATATAAACAAGACTTCTGACAATCCAATCTAAATGGCAATATGGCCCTCATACAGGCCAAAGCTGTATCTAATACAATAAACTTTACTATAAATGTCATGTCCACAATCACACCTTTATACTAAATTACTTATACAATATTAAAGTCCACATTTTGGAGTTGTTTTTTTCAAATTTCAAATTTAATATTATAGAGAAATATCATTCAGAAGTTATATTTCTATCATTTAGGATATAAAACATTTCAGATATTTTTATGAAAGAACTTAGTAAGCTCTTTTTTTTTTAACTCTACCAGACCTGTTTACTTCATTTTGATGTAGGTTACATGGTGTTCATCATATTTCGTTCCAAAAATAAAACTAATAGATGAAATTGTTTGAAACTTGATAGGAAATTTCCTAAAGATGTAATTTTGATATATTTAGTTTTTATGCATTATCAGCTTTGAAATCTTGGGAAATTACATTAGGAAATGGTTTTTATAAGAAATAATTAAAATACTTAATTTGTTCCAGATTTGAACTTCTTAATTTTGTGTTTTATTCTAAAGATCTCTAATAATGTTTTATCATTGCATAAAGTATAAATTTTGTCTATTTTTAATTTTTTAATCATACACTTTCCTTATGTTTACAATTATTATATAGGAACAAAAATAATATTTCTAACCAAACCAAAACAATAAGCAAGTCTGCATTTTTTATTCCTAATTAGGATTTTACATTCATATATTTAACACATTCTAAGTTTGCCTCATAAGTTTATTTATCTTTATTTCAAACTTATTATGTTTGATTGTGCCCTTAGTAAGTTTGTTAAGCTCATAAAAGAACAACATCAACAGCATGAATAAATGTTCAATTGCTGGGAACATACACAGTCTTTTGCTAAACTATATTCCCTTCTTAAATTTTGGACTCAATCGTCATTGAATCTAAATTTTTCTAAGCCTAACAGTTGCAAATCAGTTTTTTTTCCACAAAAGTATTTGAATTAATAGTACAATACAATAATTAAAAATAAATTTAAATGATACATCATATTTTAAAATGCTATAATTATATAAATAAAGCCACATAACTACTATTGAAGTTCTTCTCAAATACATTTATTTCAAACAACTTCCTTCTTTAACAATTCTTTCAACTGCTTCATGACAAATACTGGAGTAAATCATACATTCTATATACCACTTCAAGGCACAGAAAAAGAGCTAACATCACATGCTTAATTTATTATTCTATGTTTTGCCAAACATGAGATATAGGTTGTTACATCAGATTGTGATGAATAAAGCATAAGAAACAATGACTGGTTAAAACATTTAAAACCAGCTTGTACATGGCCAGGGGCATTGATTAATAAACCAAAATATTCCACATAAAATCATAAATAATATTCAACATTAAAATTGGAACACAATTAAAAACATTTTATTTAGGCCTATCTATGGCCTTCATAAAGTTGACAACTCCATATGTTTCGATGTTGCAACTTCATCCTCAGGAGTGAATTACAAGACAATGTTAAAGTATTTATAACTTTTTAGTAGGTCATGTGACCTGTATGCTATTTTACTTAAATTCATGCTAAGCCATTCTAAGGAGATGAATCCATATTCTTGCAGAAATATTCGCCATACCTTCATCTATATTTAATACTACATGATCTTTTTTATGTTTTATTATTTCTAAGGATTCACAAATATTATTACCTATTATACTTTTTGGTTGAGCCAATATTACAGTTTTTTCCCATAATATTGTGTGTTGTGTTTCCTGTACATGTTCTGCTATGGATGAATTTTCAGTTTTTTTATTTTTTACATATCCTTTATGCTCATTTTAAATGGTATTTTAAATTACGTTTTGTCTGACCAATGTAAATACTTCCACATTCACATTCTATTTTATATATTCCAGTTTTTTCAGGTAACTGTATTTCGTCTTTCGTAGTACATAGCATTGGATTCATCTTATTTATCGGCTAAAATATAGGGTAGAATATTTGATGTTTTTTAAACACTTTAAATAAACTAGTAGTTAAACCTGGAACATATGGTAAAATTAAGCCTTCCTTTCTAATTTTTTTATAACTAGGTTTTAAAGTACTAATTTTATCAATTATTATAGCATTAGTGAATTTATTAACTGCCCCATGCACAATATTTGGATTAAAACCTCTTTTGACTGATATATATTTAATTAATAACAATTGTTTTTTTAAATCCTTTTGGTTAGTACATATCTTCAAAGCTCTGTTAAAATAACTATTACACACAGACATCTTTTGTGACCTAGTATGACATGATTCCAGGTGTGGGGGCATAAGAACAGAAAAAGGTTTCCGGTAAACTTATGTTTCTAAATTACCTTGTACATTCCTTTTCACCAATACATCTAGAAAATGCAAGCTATTAAAGTTAAGAGGCCATGTGATTGTAGTCACAAATGTTTTTATGAAATGAAGAATATTTTTGAGGATCAATACTTTTATTTAATTGTTTAAAGTAGCTTAATACTGATTGTTTTGGAACTTAATAAGTTTAGTTTTCAACTTACCTGTTCCGAATTCTTTCGAATATGAGTGATTGGAGAGTCCAAATTTAACCATGTTGACAACTTGCCAACTATTAAAGAACTCCAATCTGAAATATAAATATTAATTGTGTAAACTAACAAAAATTGAATAATATCCATCTTTTCTGTGATAAATTACAGTGATATGACTGCTTTAAGTCTCATTCTTTCAATATTTTCATCACCCCATTAAGAAATTTATAAAGTGAAAACTGGCAAAAAAAAGTATCTTCTCATTAATGCCTTGGTAGTTTATGGTAAAGCTACTAACTTAAGGTTATCTACCACCTACCTTAATTTTGAAGTGCTAATCACGTGGAAGGCAAACAGCACACACTGCTAATTCTTGGGCTACTCTTTACCAAAGAATAGTGGGGATTGACCATCATGTTACAACTCATCTATGGTTGAAAGGGCATGCAGGTTTAGCAAATCAAGCACCCTAACCACTAGGCCATGCCAGACCCTTACTGCCTTGGATGATAACCCAACACATCAGTTACATAATAGTAATAATGCTATTATGGATCTTCTCATAAGTGAATAACTTTAATGTATCCTTGATTCAAAATCAAATTAGAAACGTAAAAGTAATTTCTGGTATGAAAAGAAATTAGCTTGAAGTAAATAAACATATAATAAAGCTGAAATAAAGCACAGAATATTTAATCAGTCAGAGATACATGTGTCTAAATATTTTCTTGACATCTTGAATATTGAATGGGAAAAGTTTTTGAAGTTTAAAATAAACCATTAAAATTAAGTGTGAAAACAATTTTAAAATGTAAAAAAATCACAAATTGTTTTTAGTCTTATGAATATGACAAATAATACAATCTTGAACCAATGTTAACATTTTCCTAACTTGAAAACGTATTTCTGTTAGATATTCGCCTCCATATGCAGAATAGCTGTCTCTTATGCAGTTTCCAATGACATTTGCATGCCACTAGCCTTGAGCTAACTCCCACTTAAAATTCACGTGTTTAACATGAATTGCACTGGTGCATGATGAAATCACCAAGCAACATTAGCTCTCCACCAATAGGAGGGCAACACAATCTCCACGTGCAGTAACTCCCCTTAAACCCTTGCACTCGAAATAACTTCATTCTTAGATGAGGCAAAAAGTGCAATGGAAATGGGGAGGTCGAGTATCTATCAGAAATACATTTTCAGATTTAAAAAATGTTAACTTCTGAGAAGATACCTCGTCCCCGCATACAGAATAGCTAAAATCTTGCATTGAATTGGTGGTGGGATCAATGCAAAATTAAACCTAGATGAGCTCCCTTCAGACAGTACAGGAACATCCAAGCATTTGCACACAAGCAGTTGGTATACCAATACATGTAGTGTGATTAAGGCATGATCAGATTGTACAGGGTGTGCTCACCTCCTCTCAACTGGACAGACTAAGACTGCAGGAGGAGGGCACAATAGCTATTTGTGGGGTGACCTGCACTACACAGACAGCATCACCACTGCTCTAATTTTCACTGTATTGTGCTAAGACAGAGTACATCAAATGGAAGAGTTAATGGACCCAACCAGTAAAGGAAGAATGCGAGAGGTTCCAGGGTAGAAACAGACAATGGCAGGGGCCCCTAAAAAGAGAGATTCAGGCCAAGCAACACTAAACAATCCAAACTGGACATAGGAGCCAATCTGTATCAGAATAGCAGGTGGACCCATGATGAGAAACCTGCCATTTTCATTGACAGACAAAGTGGAAAAACAGCAGGAATGGGAGAAGAAGGCTACATGGTCAGAGAGTCCAGCCCTAATGGCGACAGACCAGCTACTTCCCACATAGAAATGAAGGGTTGATACCCCTGGATATACACACCACCAAAACATTATACGTAGCATCTCCTTCCGTGCACTGAAGCAGAACATTATGGTGAAGCATTTCTTCAATAAAATTTACTGACAACCTAGAGTAGAAAATGCAAGAGAAGTGTCATGGTAGAATAACTATGAAACATAAAACGTATGCTAACACTAATAATCTTAATGTTTAATTAATTAATAATTTTATGTTAAAAGACTAGCACTTTCAAATGTTAACCTGCTTGGAATGGTGACTGTTAAATGAAATAAAAATTTCTTTTTTTTTTGCTAAATCAGCTTCAGTTCTTTAATTGGCTGCAACAGGGTGTTCTTGCAAGCCTATTGTAAAATGCTATCTGAGTATCACACATGTACGTAAGTAGCATGCATTTTTTATTTTTAAACTACATGTTTATATAGTTATGGTTATGAATTTCAGTACACTATGCAAAATAGTACTACTGAAGGATAGAACATTTGTTCAGTAGCATGTTCAAAACCTTTGAAGTAAGAAACCTACCTTTCATTATAGCCCTAAAGTTATGGTATAAAAATAACTAATTTCAAATTATAAATTAACATTTTCACTTGTACTTTCACTGGTATGTACCGTATTTTTCTAAATATAAGACGCACCCTTATTTTGAAGACAAAGTTTTGGGGAAAAAAGCTACAGTCGCATTAGAAAGATTTTTATTAAACAAAAATTCAATTTGATACAT